AAGGATATGGGAATTATTCTAAAGACAAAAGTGACATGACAGAAAAGTTTTAATTCTGTAAGTAAAAATAATTGAAGCAATTAAATTGTCCAGAAAGCACTAATTTGTTATTTATTAATAAAAACTGAAAAAATAAAATGTAGAATTTTAGTTTTTTTTTTAAAGAAAAACTCGTTTTTTTTTAGTTCTTTTACCACAAAGTGGCAACAAGTACACCAAAATTACCAAAGTATTCGAATGTGTCTCAAAACATCTTCACTTAAAAAAGGCTTAAAGAACTTAACGTGAAACTGTAGTATCAAATGTTCAATCTAATCTGAAATGAAAATCTTTCTCATCGTTGATCTTATTTGATAACCCGTTTCCGAAATTTTAATCGATATAACAAAAAATCGATTAAGATTCAAATAAACCATTGCCACTTTCGTATCAGTTTAAAATCCAGGAAATCTGATTCAATTGCTTGATAAAAAAAAGTTTTTAAAATGCTCGATAATCTCGTATAGTCGTTGAGTTACAATTTCATTAGGATTTATTAAAACTAATCTTAAAGATATTTCCATACGAAAATTATCAAGCATCTCCAAAAATGCAATTCAAAATACCTTAACGATAAAAAAAAGTAATGAAATTTATGATTAATAGAAGATCAAGAAATATGTTGATTAGAAAATCAATTAGGCTTAATTTTTTCTCTTTTTTTATTTGTTCTTTGGATAATTAGGTAGTTCTCAATCAAATTATCTTTCAAAATTAATGTAATATTTTTATAAACAAAATAACCGTTTATTTTTATAAATTAAGACTATAACCGTAAAACTAATTATTTTAGTTATTATGTTTTCTTCAATCAACACATAAATTCTTTTATTTTATGTTCGGTTAATCATGTCTTCGAAAAATTTTAATAACATTCCTTCTTCTTAACCCCTTGTAATTACTTAAAGCACATGTAAAAGTAACATCATTAAAAATATCCCTAAGGTATGTGGGAAAAATTTCTGGTGTTCGAATCAGTTAATAAGGCAAATCAACACGTTTTTAATCAATTCTAATTGAATTTATTTTGCATGTGAAGCTAAATATTTTGAGTGTCATATTTCTTATTCAGTTAATATGATTTAAGTCGAAATTTATCGTGAGAAGTATTAAATATTAATAAAATATTGTCGAAGTCTTTTTTTTTCTTGTGTTTAGTGGAAGTTTATTAAAACTGAAGTTTAATTAAAACTTCCCTTGAGCATTTGTATAAAGTACTGTCCGAAAGTTTCAGTGGATAATTTGCTACTAGTAGAGCTAAATTTTAACGTTTAAAAAATAAATCATTTGTGTTTTATTCTTACAACTACATACAGAAGGTAATTTTTTTTAAATATTTCTTATAAAATTCGATTAAAAGTATTGCTACTGAACGATAAACGACTTTTAAAAACTTTTCTATCATTTGAAATTTTTTGAAAATATTCTCAAAAATCCTGCTTCATATCTCTGACGGGTTTTGATACTTCAACTAGTAATTTGAATTCTGTATTTATCAATATATGCGAAAGTTCATAATTTGAATGAAAGATAAGTAAACAGTTTTTTATTCCCGTTTACAAACGTTCAGTAACCCATTGTCACACGGCACAAAAAAAGTCGATAGGCGATTTCACCCCGGGACTTTTTCAGTGGCCAGGAAATTTTGAAAATTCGCTTCCATCCATTCTAAGTCTGAAAGGGTCATAAAGTAGCGGAGGAACGTAATAAATCTTTTGAACCCCCAAGAAAAAAGTCACATGGCGTCAAATCGAGGAACGTGGAGGCCATGGATACAGGCTTTATCGGGATTTTTTGCGGCCAATCACCGGTTTGGGATCGGTGATATTTAATCAATAGTGTACTGAGAGATGCTAGTGAGGCGGTGCACCATTTTGCTGCCAAATAAAGTTATTTGGTTCAATTTCTTCCAATTGAGGAAATAGTCATAGTTGTAGAGATCAAGATAGGCAGAACCAGTTACACCCTTTGGGCGTCCAAATTTTTTCCTTTTACAAAGACAGCAGGAAAAACCGATGATACTACCTAAGATTGTTATCATCATTTGGAGGTTGACAACCGAACTTAATACGGAACGCTCATTGCACAGTAATTGCAGATTCTGCCTTTGCAAACTGGAGAACACAAAATGCTTTCTGTTTACTACTCGTCATTTTTCTACTAGCGCGTTGATTGACAAGAAAGGGGAAATTAATAACCGCCCAAAAAGGAAAAAACCCTTTTAGTGTTTTATTCGATGCATGAGTCATACTAATATGTTACATGTAATAAATACTATAAATCGTTAAAATTTCGATATTCTTTTAGAAACACCCGGTATATATAAAAAAAATATCTTTAATCATTACTCTTTTTAAACTATTAATTAAGTGTTTTATATATGAGTGTATAATATTTCAACTTTTATGAAAAGATATGTTTCTATTATTCTTTGAAAACTAAATAAGTTGAGTTTCGAAAAAGGGAGAATTTTTTAACGAATGAAAATATTTGATAACGCTACTGAAATTAATTTTCCTAATTTTTAGCTGTTCACACATAAAAAGTTATTTTTCTAAATCTTTTGATCGGAAGCCTTTCAATTAATCTCTGTTTTTTTCAGTTTAAAATATATTAATTGAATGGAACCTGACTAATAAAAATATAAAAACACAACACTTCAAATATAAAATGAATTTCAGAAAATATTTGAAGTTTTAAGTTTCCTCAAATACGAACAAAGAACTTTTTGTACATTAAAAATGGATCTTTCAAATAAGCTAGAGAGATAATTTACAGAGAAATGCAAAAAATGATGTTACTGGGAAATCTTTTTTAATATTTTCTTTTAATTTTTGTTTTAATTTTAAGTCTCAGGGGGGTTGATTTTTGGGGCTGAAAAAAAACAATTTTTTCAAAAAGGGATAATCTTTTTAAATTTTTTAAAAAAAATTCGAATTTTTACAATTATTTATAAAAAAAAGGGGGTTCGAAAAAATTTAAAATGTTTAAAATATAATCATAAAATTTAAAAAAATTATAAGCATATGAAAATAAGAAACTTTTCTATAAGAAATATTTATTAAGTTTTACATCGAGCATGCTATATTTTCTAAAATAGTTGCTTTAATTACTATCTATAAGTTGATTTATAAAGCTAAATGTATTATTATTACACTGTAGCTATTTTTATATGAATATAATAATAACTTAAATATTTTAATAAGTAAAAAAAATAGTTTTTTAAAAAATATTTAAAAAATTGCAATATTTTACAAATTTGAAATACAAAAGATATATAATACTAAAATTAGATAGGGTTTAAAGAGTACGATGCATTTTATAATTCTATAAATTTTATGAAAATTCTGTAAATTTTATTATCAAAGGCTACTATTTTAGAAAATAGCGTGAGCAACGAAAAAAATACTTAATATTTATTATAGAATTTTCATATACTTATGATTTTTAAAAATTTTATTATACTTTAAAACTTTTATACTTTTCTGAAGCCCCATTTTTTTATAAATAATGTGTAAAAGATATGAATCATTTAATTTAAATTTAAAAGAATTATACCTATTTGAAAATGGTTTATATTTTCAGACCTCTAGAGAAATTCAACACCCCTGAGGCCTCTTAAGGGAACGGTGGACCATTAAGACTAATTTCTTAAATTTTTAGTTTAATTATCTGAAATTGGAATCATATAGTAAATGATTATTATATTTCATAATTTAAATATGTATTTTATAAAAAAATATTAAAAACTGATTTTTTTTAAAAAAAATTAATTTTTTAAAACTATTTTTAAAAAGGCTCCTTGCGCATTTATTTTTGAGATATGTACATAATTTTTGTTTTATATATTTATGAACTACAATAAAATATATCTGTGCATTGATTTTAAATTCAGAATAAAATTTGATGAAAAAAAGTATAAATTTTCTGTACTTTATGAAATATTTCACCAATTATCACACATTGAACGTATTCAAAACAACACAAAATAGGATTCGTTAAATATTTTAGAAAACTAATGCACAAATTTGTGAATTGTATCATCTTTTATAAGTTGTGAAAATTTCAAAGAAATATGACGTAATATGAAACGTAAAGAGTATTTTAAGTAGCAATGAAAGGGGAAAATTTACGAACTAAGAAAATAAAATTTTAAACTTTTTCTTTTGTAAAGTAAAAAAAAAATAACTCCTTAATTATTAAGCAAAATGACAAAATTCTTTGACAGAAGATTTCAATGAAATATAAGGAATATTATTAGTTCGAAAAATCAAATCGCAATTTTGACCAAAATCTGATATTGTGTGAAGGTCCACCATTCCCTTAACTTTATTGATTCACTGAACATTTATTTACACTAATTCCCATTGAACACATTTGTATACTCTTATAGAAGCACAAGCGGGTATTAAACTTTGAACTTTTATGAACTCTAAAGCAGAACAACTTCTCAAGGGACTGTAAAAACTCCATTACACACTATTTACAATGTGGTTACACTGAAAAAAAATGAGTGGTTAACACACGTCACAAGTCATTCTCTCTGTTCTGTAGCTAAAGCTACTGTTACAGCCCTTGGGTCTTGATATCCTGTCTGATAGTTTGAAATATATACTTTTCCCATGAATTTATTTTAATCTACTAAATATTCAAATTTACAAACGTATATTTATAAATTACATTAAAATTAAAATATTCGTTAATATTAGAGTATTTGTCATTAAAACATTAGCTACAAAACTTTGAATATCAGAAATTTAAAATGAAATTTTTCTCGTCCAATAGGAACCGGAGTTGGTTTGGATACTCGACCAATAGGGAAGCAGCTTATCGTGACACAGCTGATGTGGAAGAAATCCTTTCCTTCTATCTAGGGGAAAAGGAGCGTTCTCACTGACTGTTGTGTTAAGATGATATACTACAATGCTGTAGAAATGTCAACAGGTGAAAAATAATCATTTCATCCTCCACGGGACTGGAACCCGCAATCCCCGGTTTCGGAGAGCGATGCCTTATCCACTAGGCCACGAGGGTTACGAAGCCTCTTTGAAAAAATTAAGACTTTTACTACCACTTATTTCCCTTCTAAACTGCTTTAATCTCCTTTGTCCCAACTTGGGTTCCGTTAGTGTGAAGTGGTAGTTAGGAGAGAGGGGTTGATGCTCAGGTGTCGTCCTCGTCACTTGACCATGGTTCAAAATTACGTGGTCCGTTGCCAAAAGCCCTCGTGTGGCTGAACAGTGCGACGTTAATATTCACTCACTCACTCATTCACTGTCCCAATTTAGGCAATCATCTTGCACTTTCTGCGAGTGAAGAGACAGTCCATTGAAGCTCTTCTTAGGGATAATAATGAATTCAAAAATAATACGGGGAAAAAGTTTTTTTGTAATACTTTATTGTATTTAACTTTCAAAGTTTTTGCCTTCTACACGAATATAGGGTCTACACACATCTCTTTTAAAAACGATTGCTTCATGAGTTATGAGAAATTAGTTAAATTTGCTTCCTCCACTGCTTCAGCAATTGCCTTGGCGCAATTTGGTTACAAAATCGAGTTACTTAAAAGAAGTTAAAGAGTAAATACTTCTCACATTAAATACATTAAAATATTACAAAAATGCTTTCCGCTTTATTTTAAAATGTATTTCTTAATTTGAGTTCCACTCTAAAGATTGAATTTTTTGAAAAAACAATTGACAAAAAATGTTATGTATAGAAAAGTAACGAATGGGTATCATTTCGGAATTTTAATTAAATAGCCCACATTTAAGGTATCCGACTACGTTCGGAGCCTTAATTTCAAACAAGCACATAAATGGATAATTTTCATGATATTTAGCGTCACTTAGATCAGAATACATGCATAAAATTGTTTTAAGGACATTTTGACAAAAAAAAATTATTTAAATACAATATTTCTGCAAAAAATTAACTTAGAATAACCTTTTTTCAAAATCTTCTCGTTTTATAAAAAATGCTTCTAAAATAATAGTAGTGTGTGTGTGTGTGTGTGTGTGGTGTGTGTTGTGTGTGTGTGTGTGTGTGTGTGTGTGTGTGTGTGTGTGTGTGTGTGTGTGTGTGGGTGGTGTGTGTGTGTGTGTGTGTGTGTGTGTGTGTGTGTGTGTGTGTGTGTGTGTGTGTGTGTGTGTGTGTGTGTGTGTGTGTGTGTGTGTGTGTGTGTGTGTGTGTGTGTGTGTGTGTGTGTGTGTGTGTGTGTGTGTGTGTGTGTGTGTGTGTGTGTGTGTGTGTGTGTGTGTGTGTGTGTGTGTGTGTGTGTGTGTGTGTGTGCTTACATAAAGTAAAGACTTCTCCAGACAGTCTGAACTATTTTTTTAAAAATTCACATTATTTTCAGAGTTACAGCCCATTGAAATAATTATCGGTGTTTTTTTTCTTAAAATTTCTCCCCTCTGTTGTCGTAAAACATGGATAAACCCACTTCTAAGTGATATATTTCAAACATTCTAGTTGAGTCTCTGTACAGAGGTCTGAGCTACATACAGGCAAAATATTATTATAATAGAAGTATTTTTCGCAAAAGGAGAATATTTTGAAAATGGGTCATTCTATGTTCATTTTTTGTCAAAATATTGTACTTAAATAATTTTTTATTGTAATACTATTCTTCAAACAATTTTATATACATTTTCTAATTTAAGTGAACTAAATATCGTAAATATTATCCATTTATATGCTTTTGCAAAATCACGGTTCCGAACGTAATCGGATACTTTAAAAACTTGTTTTGGGTCGTATATAATATTTTTGTTTTTATGCAGAGTCAAAGTTTGGTGGCATATTTTTCTCAAATGGAGTCAAACTACGTTGATTTAAGGTAAACTAGCCAAGCTTTTTGCTCTATTTGTAACTGTAAATAATTGTGCACAACTATGCAAGATCACGTTTGTGAAAAAACCAGTGTACAATTCTATAATTTGTGGTCTCAGTATCTAGTAATGCAATGGACGGTGTCACCAGAGTTGTTTTTAAAATAAAGATATTTTTTAATTTAAAAAAAAATGACTTTTTGATAATAATGCATAGAAAAGAACAAGTGTGTCATTTTGGAATCTTAATTAAATAGACCATCTTTTGAGAATCTTGCCTAGGTTAGTATGCAGTACAGTGAGACCCCAATTAACGTGGGGTATACGTTCTATCAAAGTAGAGCGTAATATGAAACAGCGTTAATCGAGGTTACCTCATCATGTAAATAATAGGGTTGGGGAAGATGGGGTGGAAAATGGGTCAGGTATTTTACCATTAAATTTATTAATTATGTTTTATAACAATAAAACAAAATTGTATTTCCTTCAAATATAGAAACATAATAAATGTGTGTGTGTGTGAATATACATATAAAACTAAATAAAATTCTAAGTCTTGGTTTACTAGTGGCGTAACGGAGAATGTTAAGCGCCTCCCGAAATTCAGGTTTTGACTTTAATATTTTATAAATTGTGTAAACATTATATGTACTTAGCGTTAGTCAGGACTTGAGCCCCTAGAGTCCTGCCCCCTCCCCCACCATGATTCGGGAGTGGAGTGTACGTTACGCCACTAAAATGTACATATATGCACTTCAAGATGCTCTGTTCATTTGTTATAAATAGTCTGTCAACAATGAAGTTTAATTTCTTTCTCTCAACTTGATTGAAAATAAAACTTTCAATGACAGATACATTGTCAATAATTTGATAGGTTATGAAGAGGGACAAGAGAAACCGGATTCGTTGAGAGCAGATAAAATATATTTAGGAATCTAAGTTTCCAATAAATATGAAAAGCATTTTCTTAAAATTGATGCCCATTCCGAAAAGAGTTTGAAGTTCTAAAAAGAGCTTCGATCATGCATGCATATCTAGTTATCGTGACGTTCACAAACAACTGACCAACCAATCGTCGTCACAAAAATATTTATCACTTACTTTATAGTGCCAAAAAATAAATCAATAGAAATTGTATCTTCACAGGTGACGAAAACGATTTTGAACTAATTCATCACAAGAAGATGCGCGTTTTGTATTAAGATAAGTAGCAGTGAATTATGTATACGTGCAATTTTGAAAACTTCTCCGTATATATAATGAAAAACTAAATATTTTTTAAAAGTTTCCATTTTTTATTAAAATATAACAGAAATATAATTTTAAAAAGTGAATTGTAAGCAAGTACATGCTCTTAATGTGGACGACGAAACTTAAAACACCAGTTTAATATACCTACTTTATTCATTCTACACTCGTCCAGAGAGCAGGAAGTAAAAATCAAATGTACTTTTCAAGACTATTAGATGAGACAGAGGAAGGAGGAAGAAGGAATGGGTGCTGCCCAAACTACTCAATGAACATACACGTCACAAATCCTGCTGATTCCAGGGGTTTTCTTCTCCGGACGTGATTGGATTTGTCAGTGAGTTGTGTAATAACGAAATGGAATCAAGTTTAAGGATCCATCTGATATATAGTATTGATCCAATGACAGGATTGGATTGTTTAATGCATTAAGGCTGTAAGGCTTGACATCTGGGGATCATCAGAGATATTACGACAGGGGGTATTGATCGAGGGTTGAGAAGCGGAAAACGATGATCCCTTGGGTACTTACGACGAGGATTTTCATCCCTACTTCTTGATATGATATAAATCATTGTTAATTCAGTTTTAGCCATGTCAGATACTCACATATCACAGACAGCCATAGATGTTTTTGGAAGCATTTCCTACTAAGAGTCGATTTAAATTAAGCAAATTACATGTCAGCCATTAAATTATCCGAATACCCTAAAATCACGATTTTTTTAAATTGACAATTTTTTTATTTTATAGGCCATTTTATTAGCTTTATAAAAATACCAAGTTTTTTATTTTCCACTCACTAGAACAAAAACTACAAGCGTTTTAGTAAAAACAGATGCCATAACTTTACATAAGATATCAAACTTTAAAATGCGTTTCACTAGAAATGCGTTTTTTTTTTTTTTTTTTTTTTTTTTTCGAAAAGCTCAAACAGGGTTAGTGATTACTCAAAAAGCTCTTAAAAAAATCTGCTGAAATTTTTTGTGTATGTTTTGTAAAACAGTAGAAGTGTTTTAATCTTCAGATTATCAATCACTGTTTTATTACAAAATGTACAGTTCTTTCAGGTGGATATAATCACGGTTCTTTATGCGAATGTAATTACCGTTTTTTTAAGCCATTTCAGATAATAACTAAGATAAAGTGCTCTAGTTTTTGTAAAAATTCAAATATATCTTATCCCGAAGGTCATTTCAAAAAGGAATAGCAAAGTAATACATCACAAAATTGAGAATTTATTCATTTACTATTTGTACAAATAGTAAATGAATAAATTTATGCAACTCCCCGTTTATGCAATTTCTTGTCAATTTTTACCTATTTTTTCCCATTTTAGTAGTAATAATTTATTTTTCTCTTCTTAATTTTAGCCCTTTTTTTCCTTAAAATGTTCTAAATAAATCTAAAAACCACAAAAAAATCTCCATATCTCCATTTTTTTTTTAAAAAAAGTTGTCGCAAGAAGTCGGATACCTTAAGAAAAGAACGGTGATTGTAAGCAAACATTTTGTTTCCTAGATGGATTTATTTAGAAAAGATTTTTGTTTAATCGCTTAACTGTTTCTTTTTTCTGTCATATTATATCAAAAAATAAGCATATTTTTTATAAATATTTTTGAGATGAAATCAATTATATAAACTCAAATCAGCGATCAGAAATGTTATAAATATTGAATTTAAAGAATTATGCTAATTTTTATTTTCATTGAAAAAACATACTTTTACTCAAAGTTGGCTTTTTCCCAAAGAAATAAGTGAACTCAAGAAATCACTTTGCAAAAATGTATATTAGATTTAAAAAGGTAATATTGTATTTGCAGTTAATTATTCTCTCAAATTTCTGTTTTTGTGTGGTAAATTTTAAAACAGGGAGACAAGATACTCCAACATCAAAATCGGAACAAAAATATCGTGTTTCTTTTTTCAACCGTTTTCCAAAATCGTTTCTATTTT